ATAATGAAATGGAAGCGGGTGGTATGCCTACCACAAGATATATTAAAATGGGAGAAGATGGTACACCTACCACAAGATATAATGAAATGGGAGCGGGTGGTACGCCTACCACAAGATATAATGAAATAGAAGCGAGTGGTACGCCTACCACGAGATAAATGAAATGGGAGCGGGTGGTATGCCTACCACGAGGTAAATGAAATGGGAGAGCCAAGAGATACATGAAATGGGAGCAGGTGGCATGCCTGCCACGAGACACAGGAAATGGGATCGGGTTGCACGCCTGCAACAAAATGTGAAAATAAAGTGAAATCTGCCTTTGTTTTCCTTATTCTTGTTAGTGGTTGATTTTGACTCCTTTATAATTCTCTTGATATTCTGTTTTATCCGTTATTCCCCAAAACATGTTTCCCCCTCCTATCTTTATTTGTTTATTTCTGTATTTCTTTTGCGCTGTATATATATTTGAACTGCACAGGTTTATTTGGTAGTCTGGTCCTAGCCTCGTCACTACTTCGTCGGGGTTAGGCTGGACACTTAACATCACATGGTGTCGGTTGTACTGATACTACACTCTGCACTATGTGCATATCCCGGAGCAGCTTTTGGACAGTAGCTTGAAGGCTTCCTTCAGTCCATCCGGAGACCCAAGGTAGACCTGCAGGCGTCCGCAAGCCCTGGCGTCTCCCTCTGTCCCTATTTCCTATTTCATTTTCCTTTTATTCAGAAACAATTTACTATTATTTCTTCAGACTATGTATGTAGCAATCTTAGACAGTCTGTGACGCTGTGACACCAAGTTTTGGGTGGTTAAGGCTTAAGTATTTGTAATAGATGCTGTTTTCATAATCTTATTGTTGTCTTCCGCTTAAATTTGAATTTCCGTTGTTACCACGTTATCATCTTATATTTGTTAAAAAGAAATAATTGGTTAATGAAGTAATTAGATTAAAGGTTTGGCTTGCTTAGCTTACATTAGTAGACGTCATCACAACTTCTGAGGGTGGGAGATCCGAGTCGTGATAGTTAGTGACTGACCGCAATCATTAAAAAGAGGAACGCAATAGAGACCTGGTCCCTTAGGGCTCTCTAATAGAAGTACAAGTCAACAATACAGCTGGAATGTAATAGCAGAAAGTGACCTGGATACACAACAGGAACACAACTGGGACCTGGTCCCTTAGTGTTCTCTAACAGAAGTACAAGTCAACTATACAGGTGGAACACACCTGCATAGAAGTGACTATGCAGCAGCAAGCACTTCTCATTGGGAAGAAGCGTGTACCAAGAATTGATATCACTATCCATTGTGATGTCTTTTGTGATATAACAACCTGGTGCAAGGCACAACATTTTAACTTGTGCATTCAGTGATATTCTCTTAAGCATAATAGTATTCATCCAGCATTAAAGTCACCGATGTGTCAAGAACAAGAAGACCACTCCACTAAGGATCAGTGTCACAATGAGCTTATGTATTTCTGTAGTTGAGTTGTAATCTTGTTATTTGTTCTTCATTGTATTTTCTATTTTGCTTTCTTAGAAGCTTTGTCTTAGGAAAAACCAAAAATCCGTACACTTCCGAGTTTGTGTTGTGACTAGGATTAGTCATAAGTTTAAAGCCTTTGTAACTAGGAGAGCTATAAAGTGGCTTGTGGTGAGAGCATCACAAGTTAGTTGAAGTCTTTATAATAGGGTTATTGCAAAGTGGCTTGTAATAGTGAGATTGCAAGTTAGTGAAGTTAAAAGCCTACAAGTGTAGGTCGTGGTTTTTTAATCCCCTTGTGTGGGATTTTTCCACGTAAAAATTTCTTGCCTCCTTTACTTACAGTCTTATTAGCATTCTCAGCTTAACCTCATAGAGGACCAGATACTCTACTGTTTGGTGGACTCATGCAAACTATCAGTAACGTACCAAGAAAGGAACCGGAAAGCATCTATCGTTTCCCATCGTTTCGACAAACCTACTCTCTAAGAAATAAGAGGACTATCTGTATACGGGTAAAATCGAGTCAAATAAACACCCCGATTCCTCGGTGAGGCAAATAGAACAAGGATATGACTGTAAGGAATCGAAATCTAAGCCAGGAGCCTCTCATATCAGGGTCCGAGCAAAACACCTGCCCTTGGAGCCATCGAGACCACGTGCCCCGAGTCCGGTTCGAGTCTCATGACCTCAGAGATCATTACCAAACAACCGCACATGATTAACAAAGGGCTGTGATATCCATGCCCAATCGAACATCACTATGTGAATCTCGGTCCGTATCGGCAAAAAATAAGTGACTAGCGAATTATTTTTTTTACCTTTCTTAGAATTGTACCTAGGGTGAAAATCCCTTACTATATAAAGAGGAAACTAATTATTCATTAGAGACAATGTAACACGCATACCAAGGCAATACACTTTTGTTCTCTATGTTTCTAAAAGTTATTCAAAGTTCTTACTTTTGTTCATAAGTTCTTCATAAGCGATAGCTCGGAACCAAAGGCAGATTTCTTGCAAAGACTTTTAACCTAGCCCGGACATACTGCCATCATTGGTTTGGCTATTTACTATATCTTTTATTTACTTACTTTATCTGACGTGATTAATAACTTGTATTGAATTAGCCACATATCCTTAATCACGTATAAATTCAAATATTATCCATTTTTTAGATTAAACAAAGTACAAAGTTTAAAGTTAAATTATTTTCAAATATAGAAATGTAATTCTTTTTGAACGGATTATGGAAAAGCGTGTCACAGAAATTAAGAGGGAGTACCAGATGTAGAAAGATCAATTTTTTGCAAATAAACCAAAAAAAAAAGTAATACACATTTAAAATGAATGATGTAATATTTAATTAACGGTGAAGATGGAAAGTTGAATACGGTTCATGTTTTACTGTTTAAATTTCAGCTATGTTAAAGGTAGTTTGGAAGGGGCATTTGCATTTATATCCGCTTTTTGGGTCACGTTTTAACTTGTGCCCACTTTGTAAAAACAATTGCAAGCGTACCAACTTTTTCGCGTAACTTCAACATACGGGGCTGAAGTAGCAAAGACAATCACGCAAAACTTCAGCATTCTAGTAGACGGGCCTAAAGTAGCAAGTGTGCTGAACCAAGTGTATTGAAGTTTTTGTTTGTAATTGCTGAACTTAAGCATAGTAGCTGAAGTTTTGTTCTCTATTTGCTGAAGTTTTTATTTGTAATTGATGTACTTAAGCATAATAACCGAAGTTTTGTTCTCTATTTGCTGAAGTTTTTGTTTGTAATTGCACTAAATAAGCTGAAGTTTTTTTGTCCTGGATTCATTTGTTTTGTCATTAAGCTTTTTCAAAAACTTCAGCAGAAGATGCTGAAGTTATTTAGTTCATTTATAAAAACTTCAGCACTAAATAAGCTGAAGTTGTTTTTGTCCTGGATAAGCTTTTTCAAAAACTTCAACAGAAGATGCTAAAGTTATTTAATTCATTTCTAAAAACTTCAGCACTAAATAAGCTGAAGTTTTTTTTGTCCTGGATTCACTAGTTTTGTCATAAAGCATTTTCAAAAATTTCAGCATCTTAGTTCATTTGTAAAAACTTCAGCACTATATAAGCTGACGTTCTTGAAAAAGTTTTCTAACATATTAGATAAATAATCTGATTGTCAACAATATCTAAATCATAAATTTTAGACCAGGCTCAATCCTCTACTAGCGGCCCACATAATAACACACAAATATAGCACATAGTTTTTATTTCTTTAGCCAGTTTACTTTTGTAAAGTGTAGCCACATTGTAATACAAATATAAATACTTGTACTTTCCAGAAATAAGAGCAGAAGATTCATTTCATCATAAAGATATTTTGTCCGATGCTCTCTTCTTTCCCCTTTTCTTTCTACCGTACATTTAGGGTTTCCTCCATTGGAACCTATTGCATGAGCTCACTCTGAGCTTCTAACAATATTTGTGATTTCAAAAACATAAAAGTAAATATTTGCATTCATATTTGCACGGTTGCACCTAAGCAAAATAATTTTTCCTCTATGAAGAGTATTAGTTACAAGTTGATAGCAAAGATAGGAAGAACCATATAATTTTAGCTCTATTGTATGGAAGACTTTCACTTATATCACCATATAAACGATAGACTTTGGTTTATACAAGTTGACGTGTTAATAATCCTAATTAAGTAATAAAAAATATGCAAAAACTAAATGTTATGTACTTATTGCTTTAATGCAGCACCATTCTTTCATCTTTTTATTCTTCTTCTAGGATGGAATCATAAATTGGGTTTTTCATTCTAAAAATATTTTCTATAGGTAAAACTATCGTGAACAATCTGAACTAATCTTAGATCTTGCTACCAATTAGTAAATAAAGTTGACACTACAAAAAAAAAAGGCTTAATTTGTGGGCGTTATTTTATTAATTTTTGGCCTTTTTCAACCCTTACAAATTGAATTGCGGTGGTTTTGAAAATTGCTACAGTTACGTTCACCACAAGCATATTTGCGACAGTTTTTTAAAACCTCCAAGACAACCGTCACAAAATAACTTTTTAATTTGTGATGGCTTTAAAGTCAATTTGCGACAATTTAAAACCTCAACAATATGATCTCAATATTTTAAAAAAAATAAATTTGTGGGGGTATAAAATCGCCACAAATATCCTTATAAATTAAAACGGCTAAATGAGTAATTCGACCTGAGATCTGTCTGTTTCTGCAAATAAATTCTTAGATAAGGAAATGCTAAATAAGTCAATGCTACAAATATATAAACCAGGACTGAATATCCACCCAAGCCATAGGTCAATACTAACGTCTCTCGCTCTCTCTTTCTTTGTCTTTTTCGCTTAATGTCACGATCCCGATTTCCCACTCTCGAGAGTCGTGATGGCGCCTACTCGTGGAAGCTAGGCAAGTAGCGTATTGTAGAATTTCCAACTCATTTATTAGCCCTTTTTAACAATTTAAACTAACATGTGATCAACCGTGAAAATTTAACGATAATTAAAAACAAGCGGAAGACTTAATCTGATAAATTAACCATAACCAGTACGACAATGCCAACATACGTCTCTACCCGAAATCCGGTGTCACAATATCACGGACTGTCTACGAATACTACATACAAGTGTCTGAAAGGAAAAGTACAATCTGTCTCGGAAGTAAATGGAAACAGAATACATAAAAGATAGAAGAGAACACCGGGCCTGCGGACGCCTGCAGGACTACCTGGGTATCTCTAGCTGGACTGAAGGCAGTCATCCAAATGCTACGGTCCGAACGCTGCCGCTCCGGGATCTGCACATAGTGCAGAGTGTAGTATCAGCACAACCAACCCCATATGCTGGTAAGTGCATGGCCTAACCCCGACGAAGTAGCTACGAGGATAGGGCCAGACTACCAAATAAACCTGTGCAGTTATATAATATGCAACAGAAAATAAAACAGGAATAAACAAGTAAATATGGGAGGGGGTACATGCTGCGGGGGAATATCAATACTAACAATAATTTAAGAGAAAGGCATAAGGAACAATTTAGAATCTACAACAAAGCAATGAAGAACTCACAACCAATCTATAAACAATTCGTATTTTCTATTGTTTTGGCGCGGAACCCGATCCAAAATATAATAATACTGTTACGGCGTGCAACCCGATCCATATCATTTATTACTGTTGCGGCGTGCAACCCGATCCATATCATTTATTACTGTTACGACGTGCAACCCGATCTATATCATTTATCACTGTTGCGGCGTGCAACCCGATCCAATTATATTATTGATGCGACGTGCAACCCGATCTATATCATTTATCACTGTTGCTGCGTGCAACTCGATCCAATTATATTATTGTTGCGGCGTGCAACCCGATCCACATATACAGTTCTATACCAATTCACAAATAGAGTCCCGTCAAGGGATCAATAAAGAAACAACGCTATCCTGGCAAGGGAATCGAGACAGTACAAGTATATACATCCCGCAAGGGAGAAACAACTATAACCAAACTTGTTCCAACATCTAACTACCTCAACTAATACTAATACTCAATCATAAATAATTTCCACGAGAATAATCATAATCCTTGCTCAATACAGAGAATCACCAACTTAGACATTTGTATTACTCATTAAGAACACAACAATTTCAATTTAAGACTCACGGTCATGCTCGACACCGACGTATAGATACTCATCACCATGCTTATACGTCGTACTCAACAGGTAACACGTAGCAAATAGGACACAACTCTTAATCCCTCAAGCTAAGGTTAGACCAAACACTTACCTCAAACTTCCACGGCCAACTCAAGCCTCAAACACCACCTTTCCTTTTGAATTTGGCTCGAAATCAAATGTATCTAGACATAATCGACTTAATATCATCAATAAAGGCTAAACAATCTAATTCCAATGCTTAATTATAGATTTCTTATCATTCTTCTCAAAAAGCCAAAAATTGACCCAGGGCCGGCTTGGCCAAAATACGAGGTTTGGACCAAAACCCGATCGCCCATTCACCCACGAGCCCGAAATATATAATTAGTTCCAAAATTCGACCCCAAACCAAGGTCTAAATCCCAAATATACAAAAGGCACTTACTCTACCCAAACCCCTAATTTTCTACCCTTAAGAACATGATTTAAGCCTAGAAATCTAATGGGCGTTAATGGAAATTGAAGAAAATGAGCCTAAGATTACATACCTATGGATTTGTGATGAAATTCTCTTTCAAAAATCGCCCAATTTGGAGTTTGGAAGAAGAAGTTATGAAATTTTGGTTAAGTCCTGTTTTGCTTCAGTTTTAAAATCACTGGATAGGCATTCATCGCGTTCGCGATAGGCCTGTCCCGTTTGCGATGAGTTAGGCCTAGGTGACCTTCGCGTTCGTTACCTTAGGCTCGCGTTCGCGGAGCTTTGACCCCTCGAGCCTTCGCGTTCGTAGGCCAGTGGCCGCGTTCGCATAGAACAAGTAAGAACCCCCCCCCCCNNNNCCCCAGGCCAATTGCCTTACGCGTTCGCGAGTGCCTGGACGCGTTCACGAAGGGTACTCCCCCCTCAGCTTAGCGTTCGCGTCTCAGGCTTCGCATTCGCGAAGAAGAAAACTGGCACCTGAAAAATTTGCCTTACGCGTTCGCGAGTGGGACCACGCGAACGCGAAGAACAAAACCCTTGTGCACTGAACAGCAAAAACCTACAACTTTCATAAGTTCAAAAACCTCCCGAGACCTATCCGAAACTCACCCGAGCTCTCGGGGCTCCAAACCAAATATGCGTACTAACTCAAAAACATCATATGAACTTATCCGTGCGATCAAATCACTAAAATAACCTCTTAAACAACGAATTAGCATAGAAATCTAAGAAAAATCTCAACACTTTCAAAGTATGAATTTTCACAACTACGGGTCTGAATCACCTCAAACGACTTCCGTTTCTTACCAAATTTTACAGACTCATCTTATTTCTCATATAAGACCTGTACCGGGCTCCGAAACCAGAATACGGGCCCAATACCATCAAATTCTAAATACATTTCATTTCTAAAACTCATAGAAATTTCTAGAAAACAATTTTCTTTAATAATTCATTTCTCGGGCTTGGGACCTCGGAATTTGATTCCGAGCATATGCCCATGTCCCATATTTTTCCACAGATCCTCCAGGACCATTAAATCACGGTCCAGGTTAGTTTACCCAAAATATTGACCGAAGTCAACTTAAATTCATTGTAAAGTCAAAATTCATCATTTTCACAGATTTTTACAAAAATGGTTTTTCGGCTACGTGCCCGGACTGTGCACTCAAATCAAGGTGATGACGAAAGAGGTTTTTAAGGCCTCGGAACGCGGAATTCATTTTAAAAACAAGTGAGGAAAAGTTCATCACATTTTCCACCTCTAAAACAAACGTTCGTCCTCGAATGGACATAAAAAGAAAGTGCCTGAGTCGGGGAAAAGATGAGGATAACGGCTCCGCATATCGGACTTGGACTCCCAGGTCGATGCCTCAGCAGGCTAACCTCTCCACTGAACACGAATAGAAGGAAAACTCTTCGATCTCAACTGACGAACCTGCCGGTCTAGAATAGTTACCGACTCATCCTTATAAGACAAGTCCTTGTCCAATTGGACAGTGCTGAAATCTAACACGTAGGATGGATAGCCGTGATATTTCCGAAGCATGGACACATGAAACACTAGATGCACGGCTGATAAGCTTGGCGGCAATNTAATCCTGACCTTGTCCAAGGCATCCTGAACCAGATCCGTACCCAACAACCGAGCCTCTCCTGGTTCAAACCATCCAACCGGAGACTGACACTTCCTACCATATAAGCCTCATAAGAAGCAATCTAAATACTCGATTGGTAGCTGTTGTTGTAGGCAAACTCTGCTAAAGGCAAAAACTGATCCCACGAGCCTTCAAGGTCAATGACACAAGCTCGGAGCATATCCTCCAAAATCTGAATAGTCCGCTCGGACTGCCCGTCCGTCTGAGGTTGAAATGTTGTGCTCACCTCAACCCGTGTGCCCAACTCTCGCTGAACTGCTATCCAGAAATGTGAGGTAAACTGCATACCTCGGTCCGAAATAATAGACACGGGCACACCGTGAAGACGAACAATCTCCCGGATATAGATCTCATCTAACCTCTCAAAAGAATAAGAGACTGCTAGAGGGATGAAATGCGCTGACTTGGTCAGCCTATAACAATAACTCACACTGCATCGAACTTCCTCTGAGTCCATGGGAGTCCAACAACGAAGTCCATAGTGATCCATTCCCACTTCCACTCAGGAATCTCGATCTTCTGGAACAAACCACCAGGCCTCAGATGCTCATACTTAATCTGCTGACAATTCAAACACCGAGCCGCATATGCAATGATATCCATCTTCATTCTCCACCACCAATAATGCTGCCGCAAATCTTGATACATCTTCGCGGTGCCCGGATGAATAGAGTATCGGCAGCTATAGGCTTCCTCTAAAATCAACTCTCGAAGTCCATCCACATTATGCACACAAACTCGACCCTGCAATCTCAAAACTCCATCATCACCTAAGGTAACCTGCTTGACACCTCCGTGCTGCACCGCATCTCTAAGGACACACAAATAGGGATCATCATACTGCCGATCTCGGATACGCTCTAATAAAGAAGAACGAGTGACCGTGCAAGCTAACACATGACTGGGATTAGAAACATCCAACCTCATGAACTGATTGGCTAAAGCTTGAACATCCAAAGCAAGCGGCCTCTCACCGACCGGAATATAAGCAAGACTGCCCATACTGGCTAACTTCCTACTCAAAGCATCGGCCACCACATTGGCCTTTCCTGAATGATATAAGATGGTGATATCATAGTCCTTTAATAGCTCCAACTACCTTCTCTACCTCAAATTCAACTCCATTTGCTTGAACAAATACTACAAACTATTGTGATCCGTGAACACCTCACATGCCACGCCATACAGATAATGCCTCCAAATCTTCAACGCATGAACAGTGACTGCCAACTCCAAATCATGAATAGGATAGCTCTTCTGATGAATCTTCAACTGTCGCGAAGCATAGGCAATGACCTTGCCATCCTGCATCAACACCGCACAAATACCAATACGAGATACATCATAATAAACTGTATATAGCCCTGAACCTGTAGGCAAAACCAACACCGGAGCTGTAGTCAAAGCTGTCTTGAGCTTCTGAAAGCTTGCCTCACACTAATCCAACCCCCTGAACTAGGCACCCTTCTGGGTCAACCTGATCATCGGGGCTGCGATAGATGAAAACCCCTCCACAAACCGACGATAGTAGCCTGCCAGTCCCAAGAAACTCCAGATCTCTGTAGCTGATGCTGGTCTAGGCCGATTCTTGACTGCCTCAATCTTCTTCAGATCAACCTAAATACCCTCTGCTGATACAACATGACCCAGGAATGCAACTGAACTCAACCAGAACTCATATTTCGAAAACTTAGCATACAACTGACTATCCCTCAGAGTCTGAAGAACCACTCGAAGATGCTGCTCGTGCTCTTCCCGGCTGAGGGAATAAATCAAAATATCATCAATGAATACTATCACGAACGAATCCAAGTAAGGCCTGAACACTCGGTTCATCAAATCCATAAAAGCTGCTGGGGCATTTGTCAACTCGAATGACATCACCAAGAACTCATAATGCCCGTAACCAGTGCGGAAAGCTATTTTAGGGACATCAGATAACCTAATCCTCAACTGATGGTAGCCAGATCTCAAGTCAATCTTCGAAAATACCTTGGCACCCTGAAGCTGATCAAACAAATCATCAATCCTCCGCAACAGATACTTATTCTTGATTGTAACCTTGTTCAACTGCCGGTAATCAATACACATTCTCATTGATCCATCCTTCTTCTTAACAAACAACACCGACGCACCCCAAGGCGAAACACTGGGTCTAATGAAACACTTCTCAAGCAAGTCTTGCAACTGCTCCTTCAACTCTTTCAACTCAAGCGGAGCCATACGATACGACAAGATAGAAATGGGCTGAGTGCCCGGAGCTAAATCAATGCAGAAGTCAATATCCTTGTCCGATGGCATACCCGACAGGTCTAAAGGAAATACCTTAGGGAACTCACGAACAACAAGCACAGAATCAATAGAAGGAACCTCGGCACTAGAATAACGAACATATGCCAAATAGGCCAAACACCCCTTCTCGACCATACGCCGAGCCTTTGTTATACCCTATTTTAACCAGGTCAAATTAGAGTATAACATATTGGTGATTCCTGAATTAATTATTAATTAAAGAGTCGTCACATAATCCTTTTAAAGGTGAATTAGGACACTTATTTTAAACAAGATAATGTAAAGTTAAATTCCATTGAAGTTTACTAAATATGAGAGATTCTAAGGTAATGGTTCAAATTAACTTAACGGAAGGTGTGAGGCGCCCCTCAAGATCCGCATGAGACGCGGTTACCTTCAGACTTAGTGTAATTTAACTAAAGCTTTGTAAGACTATTAGACTACAAGAGTTAAAATATTTCACAAAATATTATATGTCATTTGAAAACTCAAATTTGATTTTAGGATATTAACTCCAAAAGGACACTGGACGAAAATGCCCAAAGGCTTTAATTAAAAATCGTAAAGGCTTGAAGTTAAGAATAGTTAAGAAAGCAAATGTATTTTTTATTTGTTTAAAAGCTCTAATAGATGAACAAAGCATGACATTGATTTACAAGATAGTTAGCTTGAGTATTATAAAAAGAATACTTAGTAAGGAAAAAATTCTAATTGGACTAAAACTAGGATCAGCCCATATTGACTTAACCATTATTCAGTTAAACTAATTTCATAAGCACTACTTAGGCAGATAGGTATTGCTGGGATAACTAATTCAATTTTAACTGTATTGGTTACCCTTACACATTCATGCAAGAATTAATTAAGAGTGATAGTAAACAAAATATATAAAAAGCAGTTAATAAAATGCCGAATAACAATGATAATCCATCCCCTTTCTAGGGATGACCAAATTTAACTTTGGCATTTTTCTTGTGTCTATCCCACACGAATTATCAGGTCTACGAAAGAGAAATATGGTAGAGGAAATGCAGCAGTGGCAACTTCATGGCGACAACGAGTCTCGCATTGAGACTCAAAAAGTTGCTCCAAAGTGTACCTTTTTAGAGGCAATGGACTAAAACTTTGAGATTTCAGATCTACTCCCTCCACGTAACAAGATTGAAACATTGTTTTAGCGAACTAAATAGAGACAGAGATTAAAGAAGAGAATTACTTGGTGACTCGATTTTGCCAAGTTCTAACTATTTTTTGAGGATTCCCAGATGATCTTTCGGCTGGAGAGTTGGGGAGTATTTATAGGAGAAAACTAGGGTTTTGGAAGCGGGAATTGAAAGATCCGCTTGAAATTCAAAATTGCTCGTTCAAGATCCGTCAAAATTGTGACAGAAAGAAGATCAACAAAATCGTTCTCTTGCTTCAGAAAAATAGCGATTTGGTCAACTTTGATACCAAAGTTTTCGGCTTTTCACTGAATATGCAAGAGAGAAAATGAAGACTTTGGCGAAAATGGTGAAACCATTCTGATTTCATGGTGAAAGCGAGTTGAAATTTTGTCCAAGAGAGGAAAGGGGTTGGCGGCTGCATAGAGAGATTGAGATTTTAAAACTCTAGCAAGTCTGAATACTATTAGGTCTAAATATTAAGAAAGGAGGATCATTGGGTCATTCTAATTTTAATCCTACGGCAAAAATGAGAGCTTCTGGAGGATTCATTTAGATGGGCTAGGCAGATTGGGCTTCAGTTAGGCTTAAATGAAAATCTGATAAATTATATTTGGGCTCATTAGTCTTCAAAAGGAATTTTACTACATGGGCTAATCATTTTGGCAGACTTTGGGCTCATCTATAAAAATGGGTTATCCTTTGAGCCTAATTTGATGGCATTTTCTTTCTTCTTATTAATTTCTTTGAGCTTCCTTTGTCTTGATAATTTGGACATAATACAATAATATGATAGACATATAGATTATTCAAAATATGTAATTAGTTTATATAATTAAAATATAATATTTTTAGTATTAATGACAATATTAATAATAATAATTATGGTACTAATAGTAACTACCACTACTACTAATACTACTAATACTACTACTACTACTACTAATAATAATAATAATAATTAGTAATAATATTGTTAATAGTGATATTAATCCTAAAAATAATATAATTATAATAAGGGTAATAACCATAAAATAAATAATAATACACTATTAGAGCATTAATGACCAGGAAGCGCAAGGAAATTAAGTAGAAAAAAGTGGGACAAAATTGGATGTCAACAGCTGCCCCTCTTTGACCGGAAATGATAAAAGAGTTTTCGGGCAAAGAAATTGACATAGCAACTAATTTTGTCCCGACTGAACTGGTGTGGATATGAATGAGTAAAGGTGGATTTGATGGGAAATTTAGGAATGTCGTAGCCGAGCCCCGATTTTTGAGGTGTCTATATATCTCGGGCTTTAAGATTTGGCCATATGTAGTTCGAGTGAATAAGATTTATGGTGAGACTAGGTTGAAACAATTTGCTACTCAAAGATGGACACGGTAAAATTTGCGTGAATTTTGAATTGCCTACATAACCACGAGAATGCGGGAATGTAGTTGGGAGTAGATCGTTGACCTCTTGCTAACGAGTTTAACTCTACCTTCAGCAATTCCCCCAGTTCACTGCTTAGATTATGATCCACGATTTGATTGAGCTTTAATTTTGTCTCCATATGAAATGCCACAAGCTAAAGATAAATATTAGCGATAAAGAGATATATGTAAATATATCGGGTTGAAAGAATTTACTCTCATAACCTATGCTTGAAAAGATAAATTCACATCCACGTCCACGTTCAGTATTTAATGAAGAATTAAATAACGTCCACATCGCATGCATTTGAAAGCAAGATAAATCCACGATCATATCCACATCCACGTCCACATCCAAATTAAAAGAAGCGAAATGCTTAAAATCGTTGGTTGAGAAGATAAATCCACGCCCACGATTAGAATTTGAAAAGGTGTTGAATAATGTCCATATTAAAAGGAGTTTAATCCACGATCCACGTCTATGTCCGTTTTCATGTCCACAAAATGCCACAAGATAGAAAAATATTAGCAATAAAATATATAAATAATTTGGATTTGTGAGAATTTACGCTCGTAAACCTTGGTTGGGAAGAAAAATCCACGTCCAAATCCACAATTAGAATTTGAAAAGAAAATAAATAAAAAATTAAATAGCATCTACGCTAAAACGTTTAAAGCAAGATAAATTCACGATCCACGTCTACGTTCACATCCACGTCCACAATCACGTTCGACATCTAAATCTATGTTCACGAAGAGGAGTTGAGTTTGAGTTGAATTTGCATTTGCGTACAAATCAATATTGAACCTGTCTCATCAAAGAAAAATCGTGAGTATAAAGAAAATCAGTTGACTTGTGCTCATTTGGGGAACTTAGTCCTTAAGCGCGTTCTTGTCTTGATCACATCCATATGCTTCGACACTTCCACCATACATGTATGCTTTACAAAGGAGTTTCAGTAATAAGTGACAAAAATTTCTTTTGAATCTCACAGTAGCACAATTTAGATAACTTAGGCGAAAAGGCTCTACTTAACGACTCTAATGATATAAAGGATTGTGACAAGCTAAGTTTAAGCCTATCAAACTCCTAGATAGACTTGGCCTGTGCATGTCAGACACTACTTAAAATCTCTAAATCTTTAAGGCCAACTATGTGATACTTCTAAAGAATTGCCCCAATTTCCATTCAAAAGACACTAAATTTTGGTATAGAGGAATAACGAAAGCTTTGAAGGCTATATGACTAACTCGAGGGAAAATTTGCTTAACTTTCTAGTCCTAAAGGTATTTGATTCTAAGTAGTTGGAAAGTGAGAAATTTTTAAAGAAATATTAAGGAAAATATTTGATTAAAAAATCTCGGCCCTAGTTCTAGTCCCAAGGCACATGATTTTAAATGGAACAATGTACACATTTTGGAAAATTGAGAAAATAGTTTTGGATTGGTTTAAAAAAAAATCTGCCCCAGTTTTTTTTTGGTACTAGGAAATTTGGACTTGAAACAATGGAAAAGACCAAACCCTTGCATAGAGTTGCCTCGGTATCAAGACGAGGATCAGGCCAAAACATAGTTTGAAAAACCAAAGGCATAAGGGGTTTTAAATCAAAAGGGGTCGAACCCATCTCGGGCTGCCTATGTATTCTTGTCAAGAGGTGTCGAGACAGAAATCAGGCCAAACACAGTTCAAACGAAATAGGGGCTTTAAATTTTTTTATAATAAAGGGGTCGAACCCAAATTAGGTTGTCTACGTATCCAATAGGAATCAGGCCAGACATAGTTCATTGCATAAAAAGACAGGAAGTTTTTAAAATAAAGAAGCCAAACCCATATTAGGTTGCCTACATATCCAAAGGGAATCAGGTCCGGACGTAGTTCGTTACAAGAAAATGGAATCCTAACTTAGATGGCCGTAACAAAACATAGAGGCGACATGACAAAAAATAGGTTCTAACTTATGCCTCAGGCCAATTACAAAAGAAATTCATGACTTAAACTACTGAAACTCCCGGCGAACCGGGGCTGAGATGCAAGTCCAATTCTTCAAAACAGATCCTGGTTCGACAACACGTACAGTCGGTGTTTCAGCAATGTCTTCAAATACCATATCACGACCATCTTCATCTCCCACGAGCAAGTTCTTGACACCCTCTATAATATCATCATATGAAATCTCTACAGGTACATCCGGAGTCTAGACAATAGTAGGCTTTAGGAAAGTTTGGTTAATGGTTGGGATCGGTTTTGGTAGGTGGATCTCTTTTTCTTTCTTCTGTCGTGCTTCCTTCACTTCCTCTCTAAACCAAAAGTAAACTGTTGTCCAGGCAGGACTATAGGCTCAACTCGTCCATTCAATATTTTTCCCAACCCCAATCCTGGTTGATACCCATTTTTTAGCATTTCCTTTTCCACCATGATTGCAGCGCAAGACATCTTTGGCTCCTGGATTTGGCTCCCTTCAGCTACACAGGCAGGATCCACAATTTCCCATGCATGGTATGTAGTTCCATCAAGCTCTCCTGTTACTTCAATGAACGGGATGTTGGGAATAAACCCTTGCCAAAATAATATTCACGGTAATAAAAGTGGAATAATAATGTAGCACCGAGATACGGTAATTAACAAGAATAAAAGAGTAACAACGACACTAAGATTTTTACGTGGAAAACCCTTTTAATAAGGGAAAAAACCACGGCCCCGAGAGGAGCAACTGATATCACTATAGTAAGGAATTTTACAC